GCACAGACCAGACGAGCGCGGAAGAAAGTAAGACACACAGCGTGACTCACGTTCACAGGTATTTAACGCCTATTCGTGTCTCTTTCTGTTACAGGTTTACCAAACAGGATTAACTGCAGCGGCGTCTGGCCGGGCAGACAATCGTATTACATAATTTCTGTTTCCAAAACGTTTACCAATAAACGGCTTAGTCGAATCATTCGACTAAGCGAAAATTAAATTAAAATCTGTATTCTTTTCACTACGTTCCTTCCCTCACGATCCGGACCACCGTTAGGCGAGGTTTTTTCAAACCTACTCCCCCTAACATAAGGTCCTTCGAGCCGGATCAAACGAGGTTGATTGGAACGGGAAAAGGTGACTGCCTTTGCACGTGACGAAATTACCACGTAAGAGTTGAATCGAGTTGATTAATCCTCGACAAACTCGCTATGGCGTTATACGAGTCCATGTCGCGTGCCGACATTGAGGATCAGCTCATGGAGTTAACAGACGAGTTCGATCGTCTTAGATCCGTGAGCATAAATCTCAAAAAAATGGGCAGAGCTAAATTCACGGAGAAACTCCTCCAAGAAAAGCTCGACTACGCCGGGCGAACATGGCGGGATGTCCGCACCATGTATGCGAACGTGCGGAAGATGATTCCCGCCGCAAAAAGACAAGCCTATACGCTTTTTAAGCCAGGCTACCTCCTCGGCGTGGAAAACGAATTCCAGGAATTCCAGGATTTCGTAACCGCCGAGCTGACACGAATCGCTGCTGAATCGAGACCACCGGCACCGGAGGTCCAGCAATTCAGCATGCCCATTGAGCTCCCCAAGCAAAGATTGCCTAAATTCGGAGGGGATCCTCGGGAATGGGAACATTTCGAGGATCTATTTACCACCGGGGTGATGAATAATGCGCAGTTATCAGACGTACAGAAATTGTACCATCTGAACGCATGCTTGGAAGGACCAGCTCTCGCGACGATTTCGACGCTCGAGATTGTCGGGCGCAACTTCCCCGAAGCGTGGAGAGTGCTCAAGGACAAATACGGGCTTCCACGCATGGTCACGGGAAGGTTGCTGGACAAACTATTTTCGCTGAAGCAGATTGAATTCAACGATCTAGCCAGCATGCAGCAGGTCACTGTGGAATGCACAGAGACTCTAGCTGCATTAAGAAAAAGGGGCACGTCCGAACAGCTAGTAGAATGGATGCTAGCGTACTGGACGATACAACATTTCACTCCGAAATTGGAGCTGGAATGGCAGAGATCGCTCGGCCCCTCGACTAACTACCCGATGTTCGAGGATGTCCGAACCTTCATCGATCATCACGCGCAAGCTCTGTTTTCGATGAAAGAGGACCGTCGAGAGGCAGCTCTCGCCCCCGAAACAAAATCCCGCATGCCGAAGCCCATCGACGCTCGACCAAAAAGCGTCGCTCGAAGCCTCTGGCAAGCCATAACGTCGTTATGGGAACCGACTCGGCCCCAAACCCGAGACGCTCAAGTTCCGCAAACGACGGGCGAACCAAACCAATGCGGATGCCAGTATGCGGATTCTGCACTGGGGCACACAGTCTGCCTCAATGCACCAATTTTCAAGTGCTGACGCCAAAAATGCGTCACCACTACGTGCAGAACCGCATGGCCTGTGTGCTATGCCTCGATTTTCTCATACGGCATCACAATGTCAGAGACCCCAGGAATGCCATCGGTGTAGGGGGAAGCATCATACCCTCCTGCACTATGATGGACTGCGGGAACAAAGTTATCCGAGGCCGCAGGCGCAAAATACATACGGCCAACGTGAGGAGAGCGATTACAACGCTCAACCACGAAGTACGGCCGTGTCGAAGCCGAAAGGAAAACCTTCGACTTCGAAGGCCTACAAGAAACCGGCCTCGACATCACACTGTACCGCGCTCGGTACAGGCGCACCGAGGACCGTGCTGCTAGCCACGGCACGAGTACGCGTGTTCGGAGAGAACGGTGCATCGCGAATCGCGCGAGCACTGTTAGACCAAGGATCGGAGACGTCATTCGTCTCCGCAGGTCTGGCAAACGACCTCCGATTGAAACGCGTGCGTACCCCAGCCACGGTATCGGGCTTGGGGGCGGCCAGACGCAGCAAATAAAATATAGCGTCGGTTTAAACCTCGGCTCGATAAACGAGTCGAAACCGATATGTGTCGCTCAAGCGTACGTCGTGCCGAAAATCACGACCTACCGCAACACGTCGGCGAACGCGCGAGTTTACAGTGCGTTCCGAGGTTTACCGTTAGCCGATCCAGAAGCCAGGGCCGATCCTACGATCGAAATTCTGATCGGAGCGGATTTATATGCTCAGGTGATTCGTTCGGGCTTCCGACGAGGGGCGAATGAAGGTCCGATCGCCCAAGAAACGGCGTTTGGCTGGGTTATATCCGGCCCTATACACGCTGAAGGCGACGGCCAGAATACGGTAAGAACGCTGCATTGCACCGTTCTCGAATCGCTGGATTATGCGATTCGACGATTCTGGGAAACCGAAGAAATCCCCACGACCTCGGTGCGGTCCAAGGCGGAAGAAGAGTGCGAAGCACTCTTCCGAAGAACCGTCAAACGGGACAAAACCGGACGGTTTATAGTCCGATTGCCCTTGAATCACCCGAGACCGGACGAAGCGTTAGGACACTCGTTCCACATAGCGCTGTCCGCCCTCGCGAGGATGAGGCGTAAATTGGACGCGGATACGACCCTCGACAGAGAATACTCTGAGTTCCTCGCGGAGTACGAGTCCTTAGGTCACATGACTCGGCTTGAGCCGATTGACCAGAATCGACTGTACATTCCGCATCGAGCGGTCGTACGCACGGAAAGTGCAACGACCAAACTGCGCGTTGTGTTCAATGCAACCAGCAGAACGGTCGGAGGGCGATCCCTAAACGACGTCCTGCATGTCGGACCAAAATTACAGAACGATATCACCTCGGTTTTAACGAGGTGGCGTCTGTATGAGTACGTTCTGGTGGCAGATATCGAGAAGATGTTTCGGCAAATCCTCGTCGCCCCACAGGACCGTCGTTTCCAATGCATCGTATGGCGCGCGTCAAACGACGAAAAGCTCAAAGCTTTCGAATTGAATACCGTAACATACGGTACGGCGTGCGCCCCATATTTAGCGATGCGTACCCTCCTCGAATTAAAGGAACAGGATGGAGAGAGGTATCCTCTCGCCGCTCCGATCCTCGAGAGGGACATATACGTCGACGACGTATTTATGGGAGCGTCCAACAAAACCCTGCTAGAGAAAATTCGCAAGCAAGTCTGCGATCTCCTGCAGGGCGGTGGGTTCAAGTTGAGGAAATGGGCTGGAAACTCCGCGAAATTATTGCGGAACATCCCCCAAGGTGCTCACTCCCACGCCGTAGACCTCACTCTGTTCGACGATTCCGAACTAAAAGTGCTTGGTCTACGATGGATCCCATCCGGAGACTACTTCCATTTCGATCTGCAACGGTTTCAACCGTCTGCGTTACCGATGACAAAAAGAAATTTGTTCTCGGAGATCGCGAAGCTCTTCGATCCCCTCGGCTGGTTATCACCAGTCGTAATCCGTGCAAAAATTCTGATGCAGTCCCAATGGCTGGAGAAAATCCAGTGGGACGACCAAATTTCCACGGACACGCAAAAAACGTGGAACACGTTTTGCAGGGATTGGAGCAGTCTCAAAGAACTAAAATTCCCGAGATGGATCCAATACGGAGCCGACGCAGTTACTGTGGAACTACACGGATTCTGCGATGCATCACTCGCTGCCTATTCGGCCGTCACTTACTTACGTGTGACGACGAAAAATAATGACGTGTTTACGACATTAATCATGGCAAAGACACGAGTGGCTCCGATAAAAACACAGTCTATCCCCGTCCTGGAATTGAATGGGGCTGTGTTACTTTCCGAGCTCATAGTGCACGTGAAACGGTCATTCCCCATAGAAATGAGCCGCATAATCTGCTGGACAGATTCCACGATTGCACTCGCTTGGTTGAAAAAGCATGCGTCGACATGGAAGGTTGTGATAGCCAACCGTGTGTCAAAAATTCAGACCATGCTCCCAAAAGCTGAATGGCGGCACGTTCCCACGCGCTTCAACCCAGCGGATCTGAATTCGCGAGGTGTAGATGCCGCAGAACTCATTCAGTCCGAATTATGGATTTCCGGGCCGAAATGGCTTCGACAATCAGAGGAAAATTGGCCGAAATCGCCAGCCTCGCTCGAGACCGAGGAGGGTAAACGCGTATCGCATACCCTCGTGGCCACTCCGGAAAAGGAATGGAACTTAGTTTTCCGATTTTCCCAATGGAGCAAGCTACAACGTGTGACTGCCTATTGCCTCCGATTCCGGAGGCCGGCGGTCGGAGAACGAAGGTCATTCGATGCAAAAGTTGTCGAAGCAGCGGAAATCCAGCGTGCAACGGAGAGAATTGCACGCTACTTACAGCGTACGCATTTCGCAGAAGAGTACCGGTGCTTGAAAAAGCGCAAGGGAATCCCTGCGACATCTCCTCTAAAGAGCCTAAACCCTTTTCTCGACGATAAGGAAGTCTTACGAGTGGGTGGAAGGTTGGAGAATGCGACGCTTGCATGGGAAACCAAACACCCGATTATCCTGCCGAAACATCATGTGTCTAACATGATAATCAGGCAATGCCACGTGGATACGTTGCACGGGGGTTTACAATTGACCATGTACACGGTGAGACAGAAATTCTGGATCATCGGCTGCCGAAACGCGGCACGCACGGTTATCCACCAATGCATACGATGCGTGAGATGGCAAGCAAATACCTCCACGCAAATCATGCAGGATTTAATACCGGAGCGCAGTCGCGCGGCACGACCTTTCTCAAACTGCGGAGTCGACTACGCGGGACCGTATCGGGTCCGCGACTCCGCCGGTCGTGGGAAAACGGCTCATAAAGCATACATAGCAGTGTTCATCTGCTTCGCTACGAGAGCCGTGCACATCGAACTCGTCCATGATTATACGACGAGTGCATTTCTGGCCGCATTAGACCGATTTATCGCCCGCCGAGGAGTTCCGTCCTGTATGTTCAGTGATAACGGAACGAACTTCGTCGGAGCAGATCGGGAATTGAAGGAACACTTCAATACGGTGTATCAAACTCCAGAAATGCGAACGAAGTGCGGTCAAAAGGGCATTAAGTGGAGGTTTAATCCACCCAGTGCTCCCCACTTTGGTGGTATGCAAGAAGCCGGCGTGAAATCGGTGAAACATCACCTGAAACGCATCATCGGCGAATTTACACCCACAAGCGAGGAAATGCAGACACTCCTCTGCAAGATCGAGGCGAGTTTGAATTCGCGACCGATCGCCGCTTTGAGTGACTGTCCCGAGGATTATGCCCCTCTCACGCCGGGCCACTTCCTAATAGGCGGACCGATGAATGCACTTCCGGTCGAGTCAGTGGAAAAGGAAAATCTCTCGCGGCTTACGCGATGGAGAGCAATCCAGAAATTCCACGAGCAGCTCTGGAAACATTGGACGCGAGATTATCTCACGCACCTCCAGAAACGCTATAAGTGGCGCACCACCCAAGTGCAGTTAAAACCGAATGACTTGGTTTTAGTGCAAAACCCTCTTCTCCCCCCGAATCAATGGGAAATGGGACGAATCGAGGAAGTATTACCGGGCCGAGACAGGTGCGTGCGTGTAGTTAAAGTACGTACAGTTACGTCTACATACACACGTCCGATTACACGGTTGTGTAAACTGCCCGTCGATGAGTCAACATCGACAACGGCCGGCGAAGACGCACACGGGATAAACGAAGACCCGAATTCCGCTGTACCGAGTAAGTACAGTTAAACTTTTACAATAGAAAGTTGTTGAAAGTGTACTTCTACCTTCTCTACGGGCTTTACGCGACGTGACCGCGACCTACGCCTCCTATTCTTGTTGCACGGACCGTGCAAGGGGGGCGGTATGTTTAAATATCGATTAAAATGCGAAATTTAATTTAAATCCGAAACAATTCGTTACCCGGTTTGTTTTCGGTTACGCGACCGACCAGGAAGATTCTAGGTCGACGCGTCCGCTATTCAAAATATTAGAGGACAGAAAAACACGGTTCTCGAGGTTTTCTGCAAAGTCACGCTGTTAGGGGGAGTAGGTTTGAAAAAACCTCGCCTAACGGTGGTCCGGATCGTGAGGGAAGGAACGTAGTGAAAAGAATACAGATTTTAATTTTAATTTTCGCTTAGTCGAATCCTTCGACTAAGCGAAAATTAAAATTAAAATCTGTATTCTTTTCACTACGTTCCTTCCCTCACGATCCGGACCACCGTTAGGCGAGGTTTTTTCAAACCTACTCCCCCTAACAGCGTGACTTTACAGAAAACCTCGAGAACCGTGTTTTTCTGTCCTCTAATGTTTCGAATAGCGGACGCGTCGACCTAGAATCTTCCTGGTCGGTCGCGTAACCGAAAACAAACCGGGTGACGAATTGTTTCGGATTTAAACTAAATTTCGAATTTTACTCGATATTTAAACACAGTGAATTGAAGGCATTCCTGACGTCGAATGCAATCAGCAAAACAAAACTCCTGCTTTATCCGCGCCACTGTTTGAAACTCCTCCACCAGTTTCAGCGCCTGCAGTGTGCTCCGAGCGACCCGAAAGCCGTATTGCTGGTCCGAGAGCCCCTCAGGCCTAATTTCTCTCTGGATTCTGCCGTTTACTACCGACTCGAAAACCTTCACCCAGTTGCTGGTCAAGCACAGCGGCCGATACGCCGAAGGGGATGCGGGATCCTTTCCCGGTTTGGCACGAGGTCCAGCCTGCTATTTTTCCAAACGTGCGGGAATTTCCCCCTAATCAACATTCCATTAAACATACTTACTAATAATTTGCTTTCTTTTTTCAGGACCAGCTTGACGGTGCATCCAGGGATCATGTCAATACCAGGTGCCTTGTCCAGACTAACCTTCGACGGCCGCCCTACGCAGCTCCACCAGGTCCATAAGAGAGAATCCAACAAGGATATCTCTCAGGTTGTACTGCAGGTAAGTATCCCTCGCTACCAGATCTTCCTCCCTTGGAAATAACGCCGCGATAACCTGACATGTTTTCTCGATGGTAAGATTTGGAGGATCAGGCCTGGGCTTTATCGCCCTCATGACCGTTTTATATGCCATCCCCCATATGTCGGTATCTACTGTGCTACACAGCTCAGCCCACGCTTTTATTTTCTGCTTATAATAGCACCTTTCAGCTTTTTTCTCGCTGCCTTAAACTCGCTTCCAGCTTCCAGGGCGCCTGGCCGCCCTCTATTTAGGGCTCTCTGGTAGGCACGTCGCACAGTGGGCCAGATCGAAGAATTAGCTGTTCACAACTATTTTAACGTTATTTCAAGACTTAAAGACCGTAGTATATAGGTCGTTGAATTTGTCTTGACGTCAGCTATAACATTATTAAGTAAAAAATATATTGTGACAATTAAAAAATCAAGGTCACCTTAATGTTTTATTAAAAAAAAATTCTTTTGATTTTTCATATTGGGATTTGTAGAAGAGTAAGCGGTGATTAATTTTTGGTTGGAAATATTTTTTGTCAGAGCATCAGAAATACCTAAAAAATAGCGATGACATGTAAATAATGAACAATAATTGAAAACTAGCTGTTCAGGCTTTTCAAACAAATGATTAATTTATTTATCTAAAATTTATTGTCTATGAAGTATCATCATCGTCTTGGAGGTCTTCTTTTAACATTAATCTTTCAATTTCGTCATTGAAAATATCAAAACGTGTATGTTTTTTACCAATTTTGCGGTTTTCCGCCGAAATTGAGGATATTAAAATGTCGGATGTATACAATAACGTGTGAAAAAGGTCTGTCATTGTTTCTAGTCGTGAAAATTTTCTCGCGTGATCGTTTCTGATATTTCTAAAATCTTTATTTCTTGCCTCCATTGCCTCTTCTGAAAACTTTCCAATTGGTAAACCAGCACACTTTATTATGTCTGCACCATGAAATAGAATTTTATGCAAACTTGATGGCATGTAAAACCAATTATATTCTGTAACGTATAGATTAAATGTTTCCATTGCATACTCTTGAAATAAATTGGGACTAATTTGTCTATAACTTGACAAAGCAACTAAAATAACACCAAGTCTTTAAATTAATACTTGGTTTACGCATGAAAAATTATTTATTGTTTATTTTATTACCTTATTATTTAATAATTTATTATTTATTATATAAAATAATAAAATACCTGTAATATTGGCTGTTGAAGTATAATTTAAAAAAATGTTCTCGCTACGTTTCCAGTATTTGTTGTACCAAAACCTGGCTTCGGAATGTCTACTAATATGTGCATTTCCTCTTTTAGTTTTCTTTTAATCATCTTTTTCCTATCTTCATATTGGGATTTTTCTTCTACACTTCGTATTTGCCACTTCTTGACTTGCAGGCGGTATGAAATATGCAATATGCATTCCATGCACCTGATCCAGGCATGAATGCATGGTCGGCAACGCGTCTCGTGCGACGCGACTCGTCGCTGGAGTGCGTGTCACGCGACGCTTTAAACAGTAATAATTTATCGGGTGGGATGACGGGGGAAGTGAATCTTGCATGATTTTATAGAGAAATAACGCTAGAAAATATTCCACTTTGATAGAACGCACAACTCTTTAAAACTTTAAAGATACCCCTTGTTAAAGGTGAAAAACTTTGACGATTCTCTTTAGTTCACCGAGTATTATTTTTTTAAATAAATTATGAACAATAATTTTTAATTTCAGGTGCGTTCACAATATAGACATATGCTATTCATAAAAACAATAAATGGGTACATAATGTTTAATAGGTTTTCCGGGGCATCAATATGAAAAAAAGTAATTTTTACGGTGAAAAATGATATCTATAAAAGTTTGATTTTTAAATGCTTGTTTTAACCACAATTTTTAATAAATTTCATTAAATTCATTGTTTTCGAATGTGACAGACATTTAGAAAGTAATATACATTTGTTAAACATCGATATGAGGAATCTGAGTTTTTGCCAAATGAACAGCTAATTCTTCGATCTGGCCCACTGTGCGTCGCTTCGAATTTACCGCCTTACGAAGATCGCCAATGTCCACCGACCACCACTTCTTGGATGTTCTCCTTCCCGGGGGTTGCCTGCGGGGGGCCATACTCGCTTCACACGCACCCTGAAATGCCTCGATCACATCACCCGCCTCACTATCAGACAACGGAATATCCGCGTTGATATGCCTCGTCGCGTTTCGAAAGAAGTCCAGGTAAGTATCGCAATCCAGAGTCTCAATCCTCCAACCCTGGACAAAACCAGGTTGCCCCCGAGGAAAGTCCCTCCCCAAGTGAGTGGAGTATGTACTGGTGGTCCGATGCCGAATATTCGCGCAAGATCACGCTCTTATTAACCCTCACGAGTGTCCTTGAATCACAGGCCATTACGTCGATAAGTGATGTTCTCCCCCCACGCTGAAAGGAGAATTTTCCAATAGGTTTTACACGGATAATGCCCATCCTATCGAAGGATCCAACCAGCACCAGGCCCTTTCTATCCAGACGATTTGATCCCCAAGATGGCGACTTAGCGTTAAAATCTCCCGCAACTACTACCGTCGCTCCTCACGTTTCCTCTAGCATACTCAAGATCTAAGAGTTCAGCCTCCAGCTCAGCATCACTCAACCTAGGTGAGTAGTAGCAGCTACAGTGGTAAGCGCCACCTACCGCAACAGCGACAAAGCCCCGGCCCACTATACATTCTTGTCCGCGAGTGCCTTTTCTTCCGTTAAGCCCGTAACCCATATCGCCACCTTACGAGACATTTCGGCAACCCAGTTATCTCTAATCGCGTATGGCTCGGAAATAAACACAATGCCCACCCCTCAATCTTCAACTGTTTTAATTAACAGATCCCGCGCTACTCTGCAGTGATTTAAGTTGATCTGCAAAAGTCTAAGGGCCATGACTGATTAATTGTGGATTTCCCTTCCTCCGCAGGTATTCCTTATACTGAGGGCACGATACCCGCCCCCGCAACATGACCAGTCTTGCTGTGTGGCACGCCCTTTTTTACACACAGCCTGCAGGCCGGCACCAGGGTGCATTCCTGCATACTGTGCCCCTCGCCTCCGCACTTCCTGACAGATCACGCGTCTGTAACTTTAATCGTACAGTCCGTACTTATATGCCCAAAATCGTGGCATCTAAAACACCTGGTAACCTTTGGCACAATTTTCAACCTACAAACCGCAAACCCTATACAGATTCGGTCCCCATCCTTTAGGCCAACAACCCATTTAGTGGAACCTCGACTACTGCTAATTGCCTCCCCTGTAGTTGGCCTTAGCGTTGTAGTCTTACCTCATCCCTATGCGTGCCCCCAGCCTCTCCATCATCTTGCTGACGATTTCTTTCTCCTCGACAATAGGGTCCAGGTCTCTAATCTCAATTTCAGTCTTGGGCTTCAACGCCCTGACACTGAAAGACTCTCAAAGAGCAGCTTTTATAGCGTCTTTTGTTTCTGGAGCATTCCCAGCCTTCGTGACGCTCAATTAGTAGCTCCCCTGCTGTTCGACGTTCTTCAGGTTATCTTTCATACATCCTGAATCTGCCTGAAGACATCCGCGTAAGTCTTGCCCTTACCGTTGAGACGGCGATCGCCTCAGTCCTGGGACCCAGCATCCTTACCTTAGGCACCGTACTTGCCGGCCCCACAACCTTACTGCCACTCTTAGATTGCGCCATTGCAACCGCAACACCACCTGCACTAGGCTTTGGTTTCTCCTCCGCTTATTTGTGAACGTCGCCCAACTTTCCACCTCCCTAGCACCTCCTTTAGCCCTCTTCTAAGGGTTCAGTGCCTGATTGTACAGCTTGCACACCGCATCAGCCCTGGAAACACATCCCACATTTCTTCTCGACTTCTGCCTTCCTCACTCACCCCAGGTCTAGCCAACATCCCCGGACGCCTCTTCTCCGTACATCGTCCTTAACTCCTAACCCGCGACTATCCCGTCTCCTAACCACGCGCCTGTCTTCCATCCGAAACGCCGATCCCAAGACATCCCGGTTCTCCCACAATGCCCTCACAGCACGCACATCCTTGATCCTTCCTGGTACTCCCCTGCACTCCTTGTTCACATTCTTATTACCTCCAGGTAGGTAAAGAGCCACTCCAAACATTTCCCCACAGCCGTGATTCCCTCAGGCATGCCACCCTCAAAGGTGCGCTCAAACTCAAACTCACCCGTTAAAGCATCCTCCCCCACTTCTCCCCACTCCCAACACACCCACCCCCAGCCAGCTCACTCCCTCGCTGCCTCCCTCTCCCCAATTTAGGTTCCTATCTTCCTCTCCCGCAGAGTAACCCTCTTTGTTTTCAAACTTCTAGCCTTCAAGCTTCACTAAACTTTTTGTTTTCCTTTCTAGGTCACTGCTGCCAACCAACGGATCATCACTGCCAGACGGATCTCTTCGCATTTCGCAGGTCAACCAGATCACCCACCGAGCCACCAGAGTCACCCGCATAACTCCACCCGGACCGCACCAACCCGCACACTACTGAATCCTACGCGCCTATTCGGCGTTCTAGAGTACGCGCCGATCTCTTGCTCTCTCTGCGCAATCGGGTGTTTCATCACCAACCCCTTTCTTCTTCTTTCACGCAGAACTTCACCACCAAGGGTCAACCCTTTATGTCGCATCCAGCCAAGACGGAGACGTACGCTACCCGGCCTCACGCTCCGATAGTAAAAACCTCTCAACAGGACTTCAACCCCCTTCTTCTGCCAGTCGCGCGCCGCAGACTTTACCGCAGCAATCGTCTAACCCCTGGCCTTCATCTCAATATTTCTGTGCTTTTCCACATTCCTTTGGCAGTGTGGTTTACATCATACGGTTCGGCCACTATGGCACCCCTACTGCGGTAGGGGTACTTCCCCGTAGATAATACCCTATTATGATACTCTACAGTAGCGAGAAGCGGTTGTTCGGGGGTCAACCCTATCTGTCTCTAATGCTCTACTAAAATGATACGGGATAGGCCCGCGCCATAATGGGTGCTAAAGGTTTTACGTCACCCCTATCGAATGAGCGACGCCGGATCCGAGCCGACGCCAAACTCAAACCTCAGGCTAGACGGTGCGCCGATTTAACCTACGACGCTCCGGGTATGAGGAAATAGACCTGACCCAGACCTAACCCAGTCCTATCCAACATACCCAGACCTAACCCAGTCCTACCGACTAAAACCCCTCCGCCGCACTGTCCCCGGGGCGGCATTGTTTAACACATTACTTCGCTCCCGGGGCAGTGGCCGCCCGATGTTGCGCGGCGGCAGCGACACCCTCTTCCTTCCCGGTGGAGCCACCCCACAGGTGACCCCTCCGAGGTATCCTCCTGCAGGCAAGTAGCCCTACATGGGGGGGGGGGTACTAATCACCCCCACCCTCTTCGTCACCACTACCCTAACCCGCAGGTTGAGGGTACGTGTCGCAAAACCCCCTAGGGGCTCGCAGTGTAAGGGGTAGCACCCCTTGGGCTCGCATGCCCTGTTCAGCCAATTGGCCTCGTCAATATAACATCACAAGAACAGCACACACATTAAGCTAAATAAACTACGCAGACATATAACAATAACAGGACAAGACACAATGTATATATATATGTCACGTACCTACGTGCTCTACCTTCGCCTCGTATTACCGTGGTCAGTATTAACCATCGGTAATATTCCTCCGTCTGGTCCCGTAGAACCCCCCCCCTCCGATACCTAAGGGCCCCCTTGTCCTCATACCCCGTACCCTGTGTCCCAACTCGGGACACCGGTGTGTGTATGTGTTGTGACCGTTCCCCCGGTGACGGTCCGTTTCGGATCGGGGGACGCGGAGGAAGGTGGTGGCCGACTCAGTCGGCTGCCCAAGGTTCGGTGCGTTGAGTGACGGAGGCGGTTTCGGTGTTGTAGACGTTTATTCGCTATTGATGTACAAGGCGGAAAGTGTTTGCCACAAACGGTGGGCGCGGACAAAGCTTACGACTAACGGTGGACGCGGATAATGTTTTCGACGAAAGCGGACAATGTTTAGCGGCGGACGCTGGACGCGGACAGTGTTCGGGACGCGGACAATGTTTAACGGCGGACGCGGACAATCTTAAAGACTAACGGTTCTTATCATCTACGGTTTAGCGGTCGGTTCGCTCGGTGGTAACGGAGGGAGCGGTCGGTCGCTCGGCGGTCGCGGTGAGCGTTCGGTCGCTCGACGGTTGCGGAGAGCGTTCGGTCGCTCGGTAGAGGGGGAGGGAGAGACAATACCCTGCCGTCGCTTACCACAAGGCGGGCGACGGTGGCAGGGCCCGGGAAGGAAGACTAGGATCGGACTGTCGGTTACTATGGTAACCACTGACGGGCGGTGGGTCGTCGGAAACGGCTGAGGGGGGTGAATCGGGTAGGAGTACAATGCCCTACTGCCGCTTACCACAAGGCGGGCGACGAGGTAGGGCCCCGGTAGGAAGGTAGGAGCGGACTGTCGGTCGCTATGGCGACCATTGACGGATGGGTTAGGTCAGAGCAATAGCCGTGGCGGGAGCGGGCTGAAGCAATACCCTACCGACGCTTACCACAAGGCGGGCGTCTTGGCAGGGCCCGGGTAGGAATACTAGGAGCGGACGGTCGGTTACTAGGGTAACCACTGACGGAGGTATGGCGGTTCGGTCACGAGAGTGCCCCTCGCACACTCGTGCTTTCAAAACGGCGGACTCGCACAGACTGGGTCGTATATTATACTACAGCAATCTCTCACCATGAGAAGGCTTCGGTGAGCTCGGCACGAGTCCCCCGTCTCCGGCCGGTAGCCCGGTTCTTATAATCCGCGGATGCGGTATTCGGTTGCGCGAATTCGCGGCCGCCTAGCGGCCGCGAGACTAATTAGCGCCTCGCGAGATCGGTTGCGCGAAGGCGCGGACGCCTGGCGGCCGGGCGCGGTACTACCGGCCGCGGAGACATAGCGCGACGACGCTCGGTCAGCGCCTTGGAGGGGATATCGGCGTGTCAGGGTGTATATTACTCGCCTAACACTGCAGTTGAGGTCCGACCAGTGTCCCATATTTATCGTGCACACTTTTGCACGTGTGTGCAAGTGTTAAGATAATAAAATAAAATAAAAATAAAAAATAAATGAAATAAAATAAAATAAAAGAACCTCTGGGGTAGCAAAGCAAAGTAAAAGTGAAGTGAAAATGTAAAGTAAAGTGAATATTAAACTATAGTATAAAGTATGTAATATATAGTTATAAGAGTGTGTGAGGATAACCGAAATATAATCAAAATACTTAGATAGAGCAAGGTTATTTACTTTAGATAGAGTACCATAAAATAAAATTAAAATAAAGTAAGAAAGAAGTGAGAATAAAATAAAATAAATATAAAATAAAATAAAATAAAATAAAATTTTAAATTAAAATTATTATTAAAATTATCTCAGTCTTACTAGCCTAGAACCGCTGCTGCAAGCAGTTAACTAACCACAGCAACATGTGTTGTGAATATCTGTGTCTGTACTGCGACTGTAATAAACCTTAGTCGGCGTAATAGTGTAGGTAAAAGGTATGATAAAAGGTATGATATATATTATGATATGATATAATACCTAGACTGA